TGAGCGACGATTCAAAAGTCTTTTGCGCATGAGTGTGGGCCATGGCAAGAAATCAAGAAATCGCGGTCCATCGAGGATAATTTTTTCGCGAATTTCGGGGGTGAGCCCGCTAATATATGGTATTACCAACATTTTAAGTAGGCATACTTGCAAGGGTATATAAACTTCGAAGCTAACTTCCTTTCTTGTTATACCCTTGCAGAGGGTATTATGATTTCAGTCAGAAGTTTGCAACGCAGTGAAGGAGACGTTACCGACCCCATAAAGTATATATATTCTTGATCAGCATCACTAGACGAGTCGATCTAGCCATGTCCGTCTGTCTGTCTGTCCGTCTGTTTCTACGCAAACTAGTCTCTTAGTTTTTGAGCTAAACTTTCCCAAAAGTCTTCTTTCTATTGCAGGTAGTATATATGTCGGAACCGACCGGATCGGACTATATCTTATAGCTGCCATAGAAAGGAAACGTTAAAAATTTTTAGCTTCGGTGTTTTTTCAAATATTACCTTCTACTTTTGGGAATATTATTTTTTATATATTTCTGAATTTCGAATTAAATATTTAAAAATCGGATCAATATTTCATATAGCTGCCATAGGAACGGTCAAAAAATTAAATGGAAATTATTAGGAAAGAAAATTATATCTTTGTTGATTTTTATTACATTCTCTTCTACTCTGGGTTATGACTATTTTTTAATACTATATCATATAGCTGCCATAGAAACGATCGATTATTTAGTAAAATAATAGGAAATTTAACATTTTTTAATTTGCAAATTAGTAGAATGATCTGCAAGGGTATATATGCTTCGGCTTGCCGAAGCTAGCTTCCTTTCTTGTTTTTAATCTTTTTTTGGCTCATAAAAAAAGTTTGAAGTTGCAACCGTGCATATAGCTGTAGGTGCATTATTATATTAAATGCAACTACTACTTTATAAACGGAGGAGCCACAAAAATCGATAATATTAAATTCGGGCAGAGTTCTTACGCGATCGATTCCCCCGAATTCTGCATTATGCGATTTCTGGGGCATCGGGGTGCCTTTTCTTGCCCGGTTGATAATATCAACTTGATATCACAGGCCGACAATGCTTTTGGTGCAGCCCTATGGGTATTAAATTGTGTTAGTATAGACGTATATCTGCATACTTAGTTTTCGCGTTTAACGGGTGTTACTTTTCCCGTTCTTACGAAAAAAATTCTATAAATTCCATCCTTCAAAGTACAATAGTGGGATTTATCTCAAAAATTCGGGAAAAGACGCCTCTAGATGCCTGTCAAATATTTTACGGCAAATATTTTTCCTTGTATTTTTTTAAACCTGTCCACCGCATCAAAATGGTTGTGAATAGAGATGAACAAATTACTTCAATGGCTCATGGGCTTTGATGACTCAAATAATGATGGAATCTTAAATGCAATTATGTAGAAGGGCATTTAAGCTATTTTTATACCCGTTACTCGTAGAGTAAAAGGGTATATTAGATTCGTGCAAAAGTATTTAACAAGTAGAAGGAAGCGTTTCCGACCCTATAAAGTATATATATTCTTGATCAGGGTCACTAGCCGAGTCGATCTAGCCATGTCCGTCTGTCCGTCTGTATAAAACTACAAAAGCTAGAAGGTTGAGATTTTCCACACATATTCTTGGGCCTCCTACGCAGCGCAAGTTTATTTCAGCCGAGCGCCACGCCCCCTCTAACGCCCACAATCGCCCACTAACGATTTTAAAATGTGTCCTGCGCCCACATCTTTAAAGATTTCCGAGAAGTATGAATGCAATTTTGTTGTGTATATTTATCAAATAAAAACACCTCTTAACGAGGTAAAAAACTAGTGACGATCGCGCCTTCAACATACAAAAGTTCTGATATCAACATTTGTGACGAAAAATTATTACACTCGTCATTAAATAGACTTTCAAATATTTTCTCATTTATCCCCACCGGCCCCAACAGCTCCAAATTTCGAAATTTTCACTTTTTCACTTTTACCGCTCTCTCTCCCAAGCTAATTGATTTTCTTAAAGTCTTGGTATGCAATCCTGTTAGTTTTCGCAATACCTTTTGATAGGTGTATCATTCATTATGATCGGACCATCACAGTAGATTTTCATTTCTTCGTGTATATATAGTAGTCGCCTTCGCACACTCTCCTGGTGCGCTTCGTCACTACATGGACTGCCGTCCATAGTGATACCTATCAAAATGTAAAAGACATTTTTCAAATCGGACCATTCATTAAAAATCTCCCTCGCATTCCCTTTAGCTCTGCTACGATTATAGTCGGGACACGAACCCGAGTACAGCGTTCGCACTTCCTTTAGCTGAGTGACGGGTATTAAATAGTCGGGACACCAACCCGACTATAGCGTTCTCTCTTGTTTGGCATTGGATTTAATACAATTGAGTACAGACCCTCGAAGATATCTTAAATCAAAGCATTAAATGTTGATATTTTTTTCAAACCGCGATTGCACAAATACCACCCGTTAAACGCGAAAACTGAGTATGCAGATAGGCTTATATACGTCTATATTAACATATTTTAATGCCCATAGGCCTGCACCTTTTAATAAAGTCCATTTTGTTGTCCTGTGTAATGCTTAACTCAGTCTTGGCAGACAGTAAAAATGCCTTGTATATCAATTGGACGTGTTCTGATTATTTCCAACTGAAACTGATAAAAAGAAATACTTGCAATCTGGTCGGAAGAAAGATCTATATATATATAACAGTTTATTTATGGCTAGCGAATTTTTTAAGTTTTAAGTTATCTCAGCTCTTAATTCGGGCGTATTTCATATGTACAGCTTGTCAAGTAATTGTTCGCAAAAGGGAAAATGGCATAGAAACTCGTTTTTAGATGGGAAATCTAGATACTAGATTTTTATACCCTTGCAGAGGGTATTATGATTTCAGTCAGAAGTTTGCAACGCAGTGAAGGAGACGTTTCCGACCCCATAAAGTATATATATTCTTGATCAGCATCACAAGACGAGTCGATCTAGCCATGTCCGTCTGTCCGTCTGTCCGTCTGTCCGTCTGTCCGTCTGTCCGTCCGTCTGTCCGTCTGTCCGTCTGTCTGTTTCTACGCAAACTAGTCTCTCAGTTTTTAAGCTATCAGGATGAAACTTTCCCAAAAGTCTTCTTTCTATTGCAGGTAGTATATATGTCGGAGCCGACCGGATCGGACAACTATATCTTATAGCTCCCATAGGAACAATCGGAAAAAAAAAACTTTAAAAAATTCTAGCTTCGGTGTTTTTTGAAATATTACCTTCTACTTTTGGGGATGTTATTTTTTAAATATATCTGAATTTCGAATTAATTATTTAAAAAATCGGACTACTATATCATATAGCTGCCATAGGAACGATCGGAAAATTAATGGAAAAGTAATAGGAAATAAATTCTAGCTTCTTTAGATTTTATTGTATTATCTTCTACTCTAGGATATGACACTTTTTAAATATTTCCGAATTTCAATTTTAATTTGATCAAAATCGGACGACTATATCATATAGCTGCCATAGGAACGATCGGAAAATTAATGAGAAATATTAGAAAATTGAACATTTTTGCGATTTGTTAATTAATAGGAATGATCTGCAAGGGTATATAAGCTTCGGCTGGCCGAAGCTAGCTTCCTTTCTTGTTTAATTTGGTTCTTTTGGAATGTTGTTTATTAAACTATTATCTTACCGATTGCATCAAAACATTTTCATTTTTTACCCTAAAACACCCTAAAAACCAAGAAAAACTAAAAAATTGCAAATATTCGGCTGTCAATTGTTTGCAAAATGCAAACAGTTATTTGACTTATAGCTATAGCTTGAAAACGGCTAAAGTTATTCTACTAATTTTTGGTGGGGTCCTCGTGGTGTCTGCCCTGCATTTAAACAACCCGGAATTGACCGTCTAAGAACATTTTTAATTATACTTTTTAAGGATTTTCTTCCAAAAAACTTTTGCAGGTGATTTATATATATATTTTTTTTTTATTTTGTAAGAAATGTGCAAATGTCCAAAAATCCAAAAATCCGGATCGGACCACTATATCTTATGGCTGCCATAGGAATAATTAACAAAATAATAGAAAAAACTTTATAGAAAGTAGGCTTTTTTATTTTTGACAATGTAAAAACAACATTTTAGGTAGGCATACCTGCAAGGGTATATGTATATGTAAACTTCGGCTGGCCAAAGTTAACTTCCTTTCTTGTTTTTTTTTTTGATTATTGTTAACAAAAGGGAAACGAACAACATGGCATACTCAGTTTTTTGAATGTCCTTCAATAAAGGAGCAATTTGCAATTTGTGTATAAAGACTTAAGTGGCACACTGTATGAACATTGAAATTAATTCCACCCGAACTTAGCTTAGCTATTTCCGTGGCACTATTTTCTACAAAAGTTGCGGGAGAACTAGAAATGAGAATTAGGGCTTTTAGAGAACATTATCTTATCACACTGCCTCAAACCCAGCACTGCAATACAAAAGCAAATCAAAATAAACCAAGGGGTGGCGGAAAACGTGCATTGACCTTATCAACAGGTTTGAGTTTACGTAATGAACTTGATTGCGACTCTCTTTCTCTGACATGTTTCCCTTTCAACAGCAAAGTTCTTTTGAAAAAGAGCGATCAAAACTAAGCGCCCACTTCTCACGGATTCACTCTCAATCACATATACATATACATACATGTATGTATTTTGTATTCTTGTAAACACAGCTAAGAACAATGTATGTATGTAGTTATGAATTATAGTTATCATGTACGACAAGAAGAAATATTTGGTCGGTATCCAAGTGACACAGAAATGTCTTTCAACTAAATTCGATTGAATTTCAACCGCCTTTGGATGGAGAATATTCCTGTGCCGGCTTGTGTTTCTATTATATTACTTTGCAAAAGTTCGCTTTCTGTCCCCAGCGGTAGAGATTGGTATTGGCAGATTATGTACGTAAACAGTAGAAATTGGAGAACAATATTTACAATTGTCTTTAATATTCCGCTGCTGGCCGATTGATCTTATATTCACTTTGAACACTTCACGTTTTCTTGCTTGTTTCGGAGGAAATTACATTGGATTCCACCGCACTTTACACTGTCCCTCGCACTGCTAAATTTAAAATTTTCGATCGTGAGCGACTGTGTTTTTACTGGCGCTCTTACCGACGCGTGAAGTTCAACTAACAGCAGCGACGGCAACGACAACTCATTTGGCCCGCATGCAGAGCGAGTGGAAAAACGAGTGAATCTTTTCTGTGCGAGCATCTCGCTCTCAGCTAAGTGCTAATCAGCGGAGGTCGGGCAGTTCCCCTTTAGACTGGCGACGCTTGAGTGATTCTCGAGCGATTTCAAAAATGAAAACCCTTTTAACCCTTGCATTTATGATTTTTGTTCAAAGTTTACAATGCACTGGGCCAACCTAAAGACTTTTTGTTCTTCTAACCGTCTGTCCGTTTCTGTGCGAAAGTTCCCAAAAGTCTTTTTCCGATCGCAGATAGTACAATTTAAAAACCGAATCTAAAATACCGATTGATCTCGAGAGAAAGATAAGGTTAAATAAACAGTAAGCACATACTTTAAGTGCAAGGGTATACAAGTTAACTTCCTTTCTTATTCGGGGGTGTCACAGAAACCGGCGACGGATTTGGGGACCGTTGATGTCACCGGAATTCGACAGATTTCTTTTTTTCGGAAAATTTAGAGTACTTGCGAAGGCATAAACTGCGAGAGGCTATAATGCAGAGGAGATCCTTACAAGCGGTTTAACTTATTGGCCAGGCCCTCCCGAGCAGTGGTCACAAGAACGCGGCCGCCCTGAGTAAATGAAATGAATCGCAAGAATATGGCATGTAGTGCTGCTGAATGACGTTATCAACGTTTATTTGTTTAAATTAATAATAAACCAAAAATGTTTACTTTCAGTTTCTTCTTCTTCTTTCTTATCCGTCAAAAAAAAGGATATTTTTCACTGTTGTCAACTTTTTGTAAGGGCGGCATGTTTTTATTAATTTCTCAATAACTACAACTTTTTATACCCTTGCAGAGGGTATTATGATTTCAGTCAGAAGTTTGCAACGCAGTGAAGGAGACATTTCCGACCCCATAAAGTATATATATTCTTGATCAGCATCACAAGACGAGTCGATCTAGCCATGTCCGTCTGTCCGTCCGTCTGTCCGTCTGTCCGTCCGTCTGTCCGTCTGTCCGTCCGTCTGTCCGTCCGTTTCTACGCAAACTAGTCTCTCAGTTTTAAAGCTATCGGGATGAAACTTTCGTAAATGTCGTATTTCTTCTGCAGGTAGTATATATGTCGGAACCAACCGGATCGGACAACTATATCTTATAGCTCCCATAGGAAGGATCAAAAAAAAAAACGCAAACAAATTATAGCTCCGATGTTTTTTGAAATTTTACCTTCTTCTCTTGGGAATATTTTTTTTTATATATTTCTGAATTTCGGTTTTTTTGTTTTTTAAATCGGATCACTATATCATATAGCTGCCATAGGAACGGTCGAAAAATTAAATGGAAATTAATGGTAAAAAAATTATATCTTTGTTGGTTTTTATTACATTTCCTTCTACTCTGGGATATGACTATTTTTAAATATTTTCAAATTTCGATTTTAATTTTTAAAAGATCGAACTGCTATATCATATAGCTGTGATAGAAACGATCGAAAAATTAATGTGAAATAATAAGAAATTTAACATTTTTGCGATTTGTAAATTAATAGAATGATCTGCAAGGGTATATAAGCTTCGGCTTGCCGAAGCTAGCTTCCTTTCTTGTTTAACATGAAATTATTACCACAAATAAGGTTTATTTTGAACTAAAATTTTAAGTTCCTTTGAATAAATTATTCGTTAACACAGCATTTCGGTAACTACTTCGAAATTTGGTATTTCAAATGTCGAGCTAGTTGGTACCACTGCCAGGTTGGACGGTTTGCCGACGGTTTTTATACCCGTTACTCGTAGAGTAAAAGGGTATATTAGATTCGTGCAAAAGTATGTAACAAGTAGAAGGAAGCGTTTCCGACCCTATAAACTATATATATTCTTGATCAGGATCACTAGCCGAGTCGATTTAGCCATGTCCGTCTGTCCGTCTGTCCGTCTGTCCGTCTGTCTGTCTGTATGAACGCTGAGATCTCGGAAACTACAAAAGCTAGAAGGTTGAGATTTTCCACGCATATTCTTGGGCTTCCTACGCAGCGCAAGTTTATTTTAGCCGAGTGCCACGCCCCCTCTAACGCCCACAATCGCCCACTAACGATTTTAAAATGTGTCTGGCGCCCACACCTTTTAAGATTTCCGAGAAGTATAAATGCAATTCTGTCGTGCATATTTATACCTATCGAAATGTACAAGACATTTTTCAAATCGGACCATTCATTAAAAAGTTATACGCAATCAAAATTTCTATATCTATCTCCCTCGCACTCCCTTTAGCTGAGTTACGATTATTAGTCGGGACACCAACCCGACTAGTGAGTGACGGGTATTAGATAGTCGGGACACGAACCCGACTATAGCGTTCTCTCTTGTTTTCACCTAATTTTTTCGAGAGCTTTTAATAAAGCATATTTTTAAATAATACCCGAAGTAAATATACAGTTGCGGTAAAAATAATTGTAGTGCCGGTCGCGCACAGAGTTTTTTATCAATACTTTCTCTATTTCTTCACATATCCAACTTATTCTTTCGCAGAAGTAACAATAATTATCTGTTCTATAAAAACGTGCAGTTTTGTTAGGATATCGCCTCTCTTTGTATTCCTTTTCACCAGGACCGTAACTGTTATAGGTTTTATTTTAAAAATCACACTTTAACAGTTATTTTCTGATTTGTAAAGTAAAACTCAAAGAATAACTGTTATTTTTTTAGTTCTATAATAAAAGTTGACAAATAACAGTTATTCGTCGTGATCAAAAATAAAACTCAAACTTGATTTATAGCGATTTTGTGGGTAAAATAAATTTAAAAACAAGAAAGGAAGCTAGCTTCGGCCAGCCGAAGCTTATATACCCTTGCAGATCATTCCCATTAATTAACAAATCGCAAAAATGTTAAATTTTCTAATATTTCTCATTAATTTTCCGATCGTTCCTTTGGCAGCTATATGATATAGTCGTCCGATTTTGATCAAATTGAAATTGAAATTCGGAAATATTTAAAAAGAGTCATATCCTAGAGTAGAAGATAATACAATAAAAACCAAAGAAGCTAGAATTTATTTCCTATTACTTTTCCATTTATTTTCCGTTCGTTCCTATGGCAGCAATATGATATAGTGGTCCGATTTTTTAAATAATTAATTCGAAATTCAGAAATATTTAAAAAATAACATCTCCAAAAGTAGAAGGTAATATTTCAAAAAACACCGAAGCTAGAATTTGTTAAAGTTTTTTTTTCCGATCCTTCCTATGGGAGCTATAAGATATAGTTGTCCGATCCGGCTCGCTCCGACATATGTACTACCTGCAATAGAAAGAAGACTTTCGGGAAAGTTTCATCGCGATAGCTTTAAAACTGAGAGACTAGTTCGCATAGAAACGGACAGACGAACAGGCGGACAGACGGACAGACGGACATGGCTAGAAAGACTCGGCTATTGGTGGTGATCAAGAATATATATACTTTATGGGGTCGGAAACGTCTCCTTCGCTGCGTTGCAAACTTCTGGCTGAAATCATAATACCCTCTGCAAGGGTATAAAAACAACACAAAGGCCGTGGCGTCACAGAAACCACCGGGTATAATTCCGAAAATAGATTTTTGTATTTTCTAAATTTGAGAAATTTTTTTTGTTATTTAAAAAATATTTGTCTATACTTAAAAAAAACCGTATTTCTATTTTTTAGAAAACCTTCATTTCTAAATTCTAAGAAAAAATTTGTTACTTTCTAGCAAAATATTTCTAAATTTTTAGAAAAAACGTCTTTAATTTTAAAAACCTACTTTCTTTAATATAGACAAAATCGCCAGTAAAGCAAATTCATAGGCGATTTTCTAAAACCAAGGGCGATTTCAGTCGATTTTTTTTTTGGGTGTGGTTGGTCTTCTTTGGTAGCCCTTCTCGTATAGGACAGGATTTCGTCTGGTGAAGCTCACTCGGCAGTGCTTCTGGTGTAGTTCGCCTTTTAGCAGGAGTTGCAAGTTGGGTAATTTCGACTGGCAGCGCTTCTCTGGTAGCGCATCTCTTATAGCCCAATAGCACCTCTACAATTCAGCATTCGTGTCATGTCCCAAAATAGGACTACGTGTGTCCGCGAAGTGGGCAGCGCCGGCTAGCTCAGAGCACTTGGGGTGTAGGTACTCCAACCCTGCCCACACACACGCAACAATATACAAACGGATGTTTGCACTTTGCAACACTACACGCAGCAACAACATATGGTCTTGCAACTGGCCAAAACATTGAGGAACAGCTACAAGATCACAAAACATATATCTATCACGAAACTACAACCCCCCCCATTTATTCCATTCCAGGTCACAGGACGCCTTCGGACATATCCTGGGCTTTTGGACAGTGAATCCAAAGCCTCAGCGCCCCCACCCAACCGTAGCAGCCATGGATGTTTCCGACTCCCCCTTGGACCGGTCACCGCAGGAAATTTTAGGACAGCCTACAAGTTCCCTCCCCCTCTAAATGGTAAACTACTCCGTATTCATATTATTATGACAAATTTATTTATTTATTGCGCATGTGAGCCATTCACTTCTAGTGTTTTCACTGATATTGTTTTTGTTGGCATTATTTTCGCATATTTATTTAATTACCCAAATTCACAAAGCAAACTAAACCTAAACACAACCGCAATTGTAATGCGGGATCCTTGTCAATCCCCAGGGGGGAAACCAATCCAGTGTTCGCGTCAAGTAGATTGCTAGTTATTGAAGTCTTGTCCCCCATTACAACACATGCCATTTCACGCTCAAAACAGGGGGGGATCCCAAAAAGATTAGAGCTGGGCGAAAATTCCACTCCATTACCGACTTTTTGAAACATCCAACTGGATCCGATCCTGGAACAGTATAGCCTCGAGGAAAGAGACAACCAAGGCCAGGGTAGTGATCTAAGGAACTTTGTGATAGATTCCCAGAACCAGTTTCGGGCTGAAATGCAAAGGTTCATTAGCGACAAAATTGATAAAAATATCAAAGACGGGTTTGCTGATTTGTTGAAG